TTTCTGTGTAACGGGTTTCTGTATGAGGGGTTCCTTTATGTCGGGTTTCTGTATTACGGGTTCTTTTGTGACGGGTTTCTGTGTGACGGCTTTCTGTATGACGGGTTCCTGTGTGACGGCTTCCTATATGACGGGTTTCTGTGTGACGGCTTTCTGTGTGACGGGTTCCTAAGTGACGGCGTGATGGGTTTCTGTGTGACGGGTTCCTGTGTGACGGGTTCTTGTGTGACGGCTTCCTATATGACGGGTTCCAGTGTGACGGGTTTCTGTGTGACGGGTTTCTGTGTGTCTGGTTTCTGTGTGACGGGTTCTTGTGTGACGGGTTTCCGTGTGATAGGTTTCTGTATTACGGGTTCCTGTGTGACGGGTTTCTGTGTGACGGGTTCCTATATGACGGGTTCCAGTGTGATGGGTTTCTGTGTGACGGGTTTCTGTGTGTCTGGTTTCTGTGTGACGGGTTCTTGTGTGACGGGTTTCCGTGTGATAGGTTTCTGTATTACGGGTTCCTGTGTGACGGGTTTCTGTGTGACGGGTTACTGTATGACGGGGACCCGTATGGTTTCATCCATTTGAATCTTCATATAGATGTATATGAACTTTTTAACTTTATAATTATAATACTGAGTACATAAATGAAATATAAATTATAATTGTCAAAAATGAAATATAATCAGATGGTTTTGGAGTTACCTCCCTTCCTGTGATTCCGATTCAACATAACGTATATATGATCGACATAAAACTTTGCTGTGCATTAGATAATACTTCAATGCATATAATTCTTAAACCATACATAAATATTTCTTATGTCATATGGGCGTCTCATTTGTCAGATTCAGTTTCAAAGAAACCTTTGTATAAACACCACCTGTATATTCTTATCACCACATATACCTATAACTATTACTTATCTATAAATAACTATCTCTTGTCAATAACTATCTACTGTCTATACATTTCTCCTGTCTGAAACTACCTCCTGTCTATATCTACCTCCTGTCTGAAACTACCTCCTGTCTATATCTACCTCCTGTCTGAAACTACCTCCTGTCTATATCTACCTTCCGTCTATATCTACCTTCCGTCTATATCTACCTCCTGTATACAGCTATCTCCTGTCTATATCTACCTCCTGTCTGAAACTACCTCTTGTCTATATCTACCTCCTGTATACAGCTATCACCTGTCTATATCTACCTCCTGTCTGAAACTACCTCCTGTCTATATCTACCTTCCGTCTATATCTACCTCCTGTATACAGCTATCTCCTGTCTGAAACTATCTCCTGTCTATATCTACCTCCTGTATACAGCTATCTCCTGTATACAGCTATCTCCTGTCTGAAACTACCTCCTGTCTATATCTACCTTCCGTCTATATCTACCTTTCGTCTATATCTACCTCCTGTATACAGCTATCTCCTGTCTATATCTACCACCTGTCTATACCTACCTCCTGTATATAACTATCTCCTATCTATATCTACCTTCCGTCTATATCTACTTCCTGTATACAGCTACCTCCTGTCTATATCTACCTTCCGTCTATATCTACCTTTCGTCTATATCTACCTCCTGTATACAGCTATCTCCTGTCTATATCTACCACCTGTCTATACCTACCTCCTGTATATAACTATCTCCTATCTATATCTACCTTCCGTCTATATCTACTTCCTGTATACAGCTACCTCCTGTCTATATCTACCTCCTGTATATAGCTATCTCCTGTCTATATCTACCTCCTGTATATAGTTATCTCCTGTCTATATCTACCTCCTGTCTATATCTACCTCCTGTATACAGTTATCTCCTGTCTATATCTACCTCCTGTCTATATCTACCTCCTGTATATAGTTATCTCCTGTCTATATCTACCTCCTGTATATATCTACCTCCTGTCTATATCTACCTCCTGTATACAGCTATCTCCTGTCTATATCTACCTCCTGTATAAAGCTATCTCCTGTCAATATCTACCTCCTGTCTATATCTACCTCCTGTATACAGCTATCTCCTGTCTATATCTACCTCCTGTATATAGCTATCTCCTGTCTATATCTACCTCCTGTATATAGTTATCCTCTGTCTATATCTACCTCCTGTATATATCTACCTCCTGTCTATATCTACCTCCTGTATATAGTTATCTCCTGTCTATATCTACCTCCTGTATATATCTACCTCCTGTCTATATCTACCTCCTGTATACAGCTATCTCCTGTCTATATCTACCTCCTGTATATATCTACCTCCTGTCTATATCTACCACCTGTCTATATCTACCTCCTGTATACAGCTATCTCCTGTCTATATCTACCTCCTGTATATAGCTATCACCTGTCTATATCTACCTCCTGTATATAGTTATCTCCTGTCTATATCTACCTCCTGTCTATATCTACCTCCTGTCTATATCTACCTCCTGTATACAGATATCTCCTGTCTATATCTACCTCCTGTATATAGCTATCTCCTGTCTATATCTACCTCCTGTCTATAGCTATCACCTGTCTATACCTATCTCCTGTCTATACCTACCTCCTGTCTATACCTATGTCCTGTCTATATCTACCACCTGTCTCCACTCCCCACCTGTCTATATCTACCTCCTGTCTGTAACTACCACCTGTCTACACCTACCTCCTGTCTATAACTACCTCCTGTAACTACCACCTGTCTATACCTACTTCCTGTCTATAACTACCTCCTGTAACTACCTCCTGTCTATAGCTATCACCTGTCTATATCTATGTCCTGTCTATATCTACCACCTGTCTCCACTCCCCACCTGTCTATAACTATCTCCTGTCTGTAACTACCACCTGTCTATACCTACCTCCTGTCTATAACTACCTCCTGTAACTACCTCCTGTCTATAGCTATCACCTGTCTATACCTATGTCCTGTCTATATCTACCACCTGTCTCCACTCCCCACCTGTCTATAACTATCTCCTGTCTATATCTACCTCCTGTATACAGCTATCTCCTGTCTATATCTACCACCTGTCTATACCTACCTCCTGTATATAACTATCTCCTATCTATATCTACCTTCCGTCTATATCTACTTCCTGTATACAGCTACCTCCTGTCTATATCTACCTCCTGTATATAGCTATCTCCTGTCTATATCTACCTCCTGTCTATAGCTATCACCTGTCTATATCTACCTCCTGTCTATATCTACCTCCTGTATACAGTTATCTCCTGTCTATATCTACCTCCTGTCTATATCTACTTCCTGTATATAGTTATCTCCTGTCTATATCTACCTCCTGTATATATCTACCTCCTGTCTATATCTACCTCCTGTATACAGCTATCTCCTGTCTATATCTACCTCCTGTATATAGCTATCTCCTGTCTATATCTACCTCCTGTATATAGTTATCCTCTGTCTATATCTACCTCCTGTATATATCTACCTCCTGTCTATATCTACCTCCTGTCTATATCTACCTCCTGTATATAGTTATCTCCTGTCTATATCTACCTCCTGTATATATCTACCTCCTGTCTATATCTACCTCCTGTATACAGCTATCTCCTGTCTATATCTACCTCCTGTATATATCTACCTCCTGTCTATATCTACCACCTGTCTATATCTACCTCCTGTATACAGCTATCTCCTGTCTATATCTACCTCCTGTATATAGCTATCACCTGTCTATATCTACCTCCTGTATATAGTTATCTCCTGTCTATATCTACCTCCTGTCTATATCTACCTCCTGTCTATATCTACCTCCTGTATACAGATATCTCCTGTCTATATCTACCTCCTGTATATAGCTATCTCCTGTCTATATCTACCTCCTGTCTATAGCTATCACCTGTCTATACCTATCTCCTGTCTATACCTACCTCCTGTCTATACCTATGTCCTGTCTATATCTACCACCTGTCTCCACTCCCCACCTGTCTATATCTACCTCCTGTCTGTAACTACCACCTGTCTACACCTACCTCCTGTCTATAACTACCTCCTGTAACTACCACCTGTCTATACCTACCTCCTGTCTATAACTACCTCCTGTAACTACCTCCTGTCTATAGCTATCACCTGTCTATATCTATGTCCTGTCTATATCTACCACCTGTCTCCACTCCCCACCTGTCTATAACTATCTCCTGTCTGTAACTACCACCTGTCTATACCTACCTCCTGTCTATAACTACCTCCTGTAACTACCTCCTGTCTATAGCTATCACCTGTCTATACCTATGTCCTGTCTATATCTACCACCTGTCTCCACTCCCCACCTGTCTATAACTATCTCCTGTCTGTAACTACCACCTGTCTATACCTACCTCCTGTCTATACCTGTCTCCTGTCTATACCTACCTCCTGTCTATAACTACCTCCTGTAACTACCTCCTGTCTCCTAGCTCTCGTCTACTACCACCTCCTGTTTGTAACTACCTCCTGTCTATAAATACTCCCTGTTATGAACTACCACCTGTCCATAACGACCACGCCCTATAGCTACTAACTTTTTATAACGATTACCTGTCTATAATAACCATGTCTTTATAACATACACATCACTACCTGTCTTTAACGAACACTTTATGATTTACCAGTAATGTTTTATTTCACCTGTTTATAACGACCACTTTTCTATCATATGCCCACTATGAATTCAATGTATCTGTCTATAAAAACCACTAGTTAATTAAGCCTTTTTTATTTCTTGTGCAGGACCTTGTTAACAAGATTAACTTTATATATACTGGTGTAGTTTAATGGAGATACTGTTATAGATATATGTACCGACTCAAATAGGGGTTGTTTATACTTAATGTGTTTGTTTACTTGGATAGTTATTATTAGTATTTCAACATAATTACTTCTAGCAATGTTTTAGTGGTCTGAAGTTAATGCACACTAAGTTTGTTATGAAATGGGGATGGTATTGAATTGCCAACAGGAAACTCGTTAGTTCTTGTCAAGTGTGTACCAGCTGCATGATCAAGACTGTCATAAGGTGTACACACGTGCTTTTCTGTGAGGACGGATTGTTACTTTGTGGGTAAGTCTTCAATGTTTTGTATGACTTCACTAGCTTTTACCGTCAGATACTGTCAATTAATTAGTATATTGATTTGTCTGACATCGGAAATTAATACTTTTAGAAAATGACTGCCGAGAACTGAATGAGAATGAGAAGAATATGTCATTTCGAGCTTGTTTCTGTTTCCGTCACCTGTTGAAATGGTTTATTTCATAAACTATATCAGTACGCGTGTTTAGGTTAAACATTGTCAATTGTTCATCTGAATCATAACATTATCAAGACGATCTCTTGATTAATCTTATATACACAGAGGCTGGAGATTACTACACACATGTACATTCTCACACACGTGTTATGATAAGCTCCTTATCGCCACTCACAACAGCCTGATCATCATATACTGTTCTATCCAGTAGATAGTGCTATCATTTATGACAAGAGACAATGTGATTCCTCGTGCAACAGAATTGACGCACTTTTAAAATTTTGAAATTGAACGAAAATATAATTTGGAATTGAATTGAACTAGGAATATCTTGAAAACAGTGAGTGTATTACTGTGAATCAGCATTATAGAGTGCCCAAAACACTTTCTGTAATACAAATAATGTTTCTTTCGTTTATGGTGGAACATTTCTGATCACACCATATGGTATCGATATAAATATATACAACCGTTATAGATGGACAGACATGTGTACCATAAATATCTGTCTGTTCATCACACTATGGCTAGATTTTATATCCTCACCAGGGACTCTACCAACATAAGCCTGTCATGTATATGCCGATATGTATAGATAGATATGTATCCTTTCCATCATGTGTATACATCTGGCACACGTTTGGGTCGAAACCCCTATTCTTTCTCTGTACTGTATAATTAAGGCTAACGTGATGATATGGTCGTCATATTCGTGGTGAAGGTTCACCATGGGAAATATGCTTATCGATGTTACGTCACTAAACGACAAGATGTAGCTAGCGGTTACAGCACAGCAACTGGGAAAATGCTTTGTCATTAACCCGTAGTGCTTCAATTAGGCTGGCTCTGTGTCTCCGTAGTCATTCCTAAAGACGAAACCTTGTATCTCTCGTAGTCATTCCGTTAGACTGACCTTTGTGTCTCCCGTAGTCATTCCGTTAGACTGACCTTTGTGTCTCCCGTAGTCATTCCGTTAGACTGACCTTTGTATCTCCCGTAGTCTTTCTGTTACACTGACCTTTGTGTCTCTCGTAGTCATTCCGTTAGACTGACCTTTGCGTCCCCCGTAGTCATTCCGTTAGACTGACCTTTATATCTCCCGTAGTCTTTCCGTTAGACTGACCTTTGTATCTCCCGTAGTCATTTCATTAGACTGGCCTTGATGTTTCCCGTAGTCACTCCGTTAGACTGGCCTTTGTGTCTCCCGTAGTCATTCTGTTAGACTGACCTTTGTATCTCCCGTAGTCTTTCCGTTAGACTGACCTTTGTGTCTCCCGTAGCCATTCCGTTAGACTGACCTTTATATCTCCCGTAGTCATTCCGTAAGACTGACCTTTATATCTCCCGTAGTCATTCCGTAAGACTGACCTTTATATCTCCCGTAGTCTTTCCGTTAGACTGACCTTTGTGTCTCCCGTAGTCTATCCGTTAGACTGACCTTTGTGTCTCCCGTAGCCATTCCGTTAGACTGACCTTTATATCTCCCGTAGTCATTCCGTAAGACTGACCTTTATATCTCCCGTAGTCATTCCGTTAGACTGACCTTTGTATCTCCCGTAGTCAATCCGTTAGACTGACCTTTGTGTCTCCCGTAGTCATTCCGTTAGACTGACCATTGTGTCTCTCGTAGTCATTCCGTTAGACTGGCCTTTGTGTCTCTCGTAGTCATTCCATTAGACTGGCCTTTGTGTCTCCCGTAGTCATTCCGTTAGACTGACCTTTGTGTCTCCCGTAGTCATTCCGTTAGACTGACCTTTGTGTCTCTCGTAGTCATTCTGTTAGACTGACCTTTGTGTCTCCCGCAGACAGTCATAGAGATAAAGAGAGAGAAAAAGACATGTAATATCAACTGGAAATTCACGGGTTGTCAGATTTGATATTCAGTATTTTTTCTACACGTTGATTCTTGTGTTAAGCTTAACATAACGCATTTAGTTTCAGCCTATTGTCACAGACTTTTCTGAACAAGCTGTTACTACAAATCCTATCTTTCTGATTGGTGGAAATATTCCAACGATTTACCAGTGACATTTAGCGGCATTCTTTTGCTATTAAAAACTGCCATTTTCAAAATAGTTTCGTTCATTTTTAAATGTCTACATAATCTTAATTTTAAGGACCGTTTTTTTATCTTCTCATTCCATCCCATATGTTTCACTTCGTTGTTTAAAATCGCTTTGAAACACACATCTAAAGAATACTGGTATCAAAAGATGGTCCCTCCCTGGCGTCTATTTAGTCCAATCGATGATAGTTCAGATGAACCTTCGAAACAACAATACTTACTGGTATGTTCTTCTTTTTTGACATTTATGTGACAGTTGGACATTTTCACGTAGAGACGTAAATGCTTAGAAAGGAATTCTCACATGCCCGGTGTTAAAAAAAAATTCTAGGCGTTAAGATGAAAATGAAGTGAATGTATCATATGCCGCGCATTATCAACACCTAAAATGTAATTAAGAATGAAATATCAACATTTTACTGATGCAATATAATCTAGATCAAAACAAACTCGTGTTTTAAAAACGGTCTTTGAGTGAAGGAATTTCACACAACAAAGGCACAGCCGTTAAAAGTAACCCAGATACAATACATCTTGAATTATTTTTATCGTTCTTCTTTATGTATATGTACAGGACATTGCGAATGGTGACTTTCTAATATATGAGTATCTACATGTATACTTTGAATACAAGGGAAGGTCGAGGTCAGTGTAGTTCGTCAGTCGTTGCCAAGCTGGAGATCTTCTGCGTCACGAAAGTTGCGCTAAATTAACTGCGTGCCAAATGTAACGACCCATTTTCAAAAAATATATCTTCATATTTGTGGGGTCCTTTTATTGACAAAAAAGAAGAAGGAAAAAACGGCCCAGCAATCTCGTATGAAAACCGATTTAACATTATCTCATGTACAAGTATCATTTTAAATATTTTAGAATACAGGCTTTCTAGGTCACCTGATACAAAGTCTCAGTGTGACCTATTGCGATCATTTTTGTACTTCGCGTGCGCCGTGAACTTTTAACATTTTAGACTTATTCTGGAAAAAATCCTGAACCGATTTCAATGAAATTTTACAAAAACCGTTAATGGTTAAAGACGCACCAAAGTATCAATTATACGATCCCCAACCATACAAAGGCCTAAGGAACGGGGACAAAGGGTAAAATTGATTCAAACTTCTCAATCCTCTTCTAAAGTTCCAGGTATGGTAGAATCAAATACTCTCCATGAATGGAAAGGCCTTCGGACGCTTGATATTTTTCGTAGGTAGCGTAGGGAACTTAGGGAAATCTTAACGACCATAGAACAGCTTAACGTAAGTAAAGCAAAAACTTAACTTTAAGGAAGTTTGCTTAACTTATGCTTTCAAATGGGCAATTTTAAGTTAAGAAAAATTCTGAAGTTAAGTAAGATTTATGAAACCAGGACTTGCTTTCGATGTAGCGTCAAATCGGCAAATGTTGAAGTAGCGACAGATATACTTGTGATATTTGTTTAATTTAACAATATTTGAATGTGGATGAAATTGACTTAAGTTGATGTATTCAGGTTGTTTGAAACGATATATGAAAATAGAATGTTTCTATGCATAAATATGCATCTTCTTGATCAAATTGCACTTGCATTTAAGCAGTGACAATTTCCTATTTGTATATCATATCCAAAAGTGACTTCATACTTAGCGGAGCTGTGATGAATTCGATATTGTGACGACATAACTTCCACGCGTCACAGGTGTTGTGACGTCATTAAAGAAAGAGATAAAGTGAGAATATCGCCAAAGTCAAGATGTATTTATCTCTAGAACGATATTTTGTGCTTTGATTATTATGACGTCACTTTTTATGATCACTATCTGTATGTCGTCACTTCCTGTTTTATCTCAAGATATTTTTACACTTCTTGGTGTTATCTCGTGGGTAGTGTAAGCCATGTACAACGGTACACGGCGATACCAGAGTTAAAAGTCCACAGTTTCAAAGTCCGACGAAGACAAATTCAGCTGTTTGTATCCATGATGCTTAATGTAAGTATGATCTTTTCCTGAACACGTAATGTGTCATGTGTCTAAGGGATGTTATATTATTTCACTAACAAGTATATACCATGACACGTTTAAATATCGAGTGAAACTTAAATGACCGTCTTTATGTCAAATATAACTAGATATTCATAGTAGTGAGTTGCAGTTGTCGAAAGTGGAAAAAATGTCCTATAAAATATTGTATGGATAGAAAGTGTGAGTCCTGCAGTGATCTTGTCTGTTGTCAAGACCTGGGTGTCCAGCGTATGTGTTATTCATTGTGCGTAACTTGATTTGCATACACAAAATTAATATGGCGCCGATTGTCCGGTGCTGAGGTAAGGCGTAAGCAAACACATCTTCAGGTTCTTCAAATTTCCTGGTCCTGACAATATTCAATATTATCTTCTAACAATGACATTCACTAAAAATGTGATAAATATGGGGGCGATGGAGCGGTGTTTAAAATGAGAAATAAAGGAATATCAGGAATTTTTTTCGTCTGTTGGGATTAAAGTATTTAGGCCAAATTAGGTCTAGATTATCCTTAGATAAATATAACTCAATTTTGTTCAAATGATGCTCTAGATTTCCGTATTTCCCCTGTATTTGTCAATGTCTGTATTTGTACCTACAATAATGGAGCACATGGAATCTATATAAAGAACGGTAGTTTGAAACGACACGTGTGCGACTGCCATAACACATGTGTTTTCAATGAAGAAAAGTATGGCTGTCAACGTGATGCTCACACTAAACGTGTCACACTTTTGAAACTGTCGTTCAGCACCTCGAATATCCTGCTTCTCGGTGAGATAAAGGTACCTAGCCTACGTACAATATCTACTCTACCTTTGTTCATTTTATCAAGATATCTACAAACGTGACCTAACATTTGTTATCGGATGAGATCTGTGGAAATCCGTATGACATTATCACGCTGTGACAGATACCAATGTTTCATTACCAACTGAAAGAAAAATATTCACCACTGTTTCACCATCAAGATAAATAAAAACAGTTAAATCTTCCACTGTTTCACTTTAAAACAAACTGGAACAGAAATATCTACCTCTGTTCCACTACCAAAACGAAATGTAACAATGATGTTCACCACTGTTTCACCATCAACTAGCAATGTAATATTAATATTTACCACTGTTTCACAACAAACACAAACTGTAACAGTTTACCACTGTTTCACCACCAACACAAACTGTAACACTTTACCACTGTTTCACCACCAACACAAACTGTAACAGTTTACCACTGTTTCACCACAAACACAAACTGTAACAGTTTACCACTGTTTCACTACCAACACAAACTGTAACAGTTTACCACTGTTTCACAACAAACACAAACTGTAACAGTTTACCACTGTTTCACTACCAACACAAACTGTAACAGTTTACCACTCACTACCAACACAAACTGTAACAGTTTACCACTGTTTCACCACCAACACAAACTGTAACAGTTTACCACTGTTTCACCACAAACACAAACTGTAACAGTTTACCACTGTTTCACTACCAACACAAACTGTAACAGTTTACCACTGTTTCACTCACCAACACAAACTGTAACAGTTTACCACTTACCAACACAAACTGTAACAGTTTACCACTGTTTCACTACCAACACAAACTGTAACAGTTTACCACTGTTTCACCACCAACACAAACTGTAACAGTTTACCACTGTTTCACTACCAACACAAACTGTAACAGTTTACCACTGTTTCACTACCAACACAAACTGTACCACTACCACACAAACTGTAACAGTTTACCACTGTTTCACTACCAACACAAACTGTAACAGTTTACCACTGTTTCACTACCAACACAAACTGTAACACAACTACTGTAACAGTTTACCACTGTTTCACTACCAACACAAACTGTTACAGTTTACCACTGTTTCACCACCAACACAAACTGTAACAGTTTACCACTGTTTCACTACCAACACAAACTGTAACAGTTTACCACTGTTTCACTACCAACACAAACTGTAACAGTTTACCACTCACTACCAACACAAACTGTAACAGTTTACCACTGTTTCACTACCAACACAAACTGTAACAGTTTACCACTCACTACCAACACAAACTGTAACAGTTTACCACTCACCACCAACACAAACTGTAACAGTTTACCACTGTTTCACTACCACCACAAACTGTAACAGTTTACCACTGTTTCACTACCAACACAAACTGTAACAGTTTACCACTGTTTCACCACCAACACAAACTGTAACACTTTACCACTGTTTCACAACAAACACAAACTGTAACAGTTTACCACTGTTTCACTACCAACACAAACTGTTACAGTTTACCACTGTTTCACTACCAACACAAACTGTAACAGTTTACCACTGTTTCACTACCAACACAAACTGTAACAGTTTACCACTGTTTCACTACCAACACAAACTGTAACAGTTTACCACTGTTTCACTACCAACACAAACTGTAACAGTTAACCACTGTTTCACTACCAACACAAACTGTAACAGTTTACCACTGTTTCACCACAAACACAAACTGTAACAGTTTACCACTGTTTCACTACCAACACAAACTGTAACAGTTTACCACTGTTTCACTACCAACACAAACTGTAACAGTTTACCACTGTTTCACTACCAACACAAACTGTAACAGTTTACCACTGTTTCACCACCAACACAAACTGTAACAGTTTACCACTGTTTCACTACCAACACAAACTGTAACACTTTACCACTGTTTCACTACCAACACAAACTGTAACACTTTACCACTGTTTCACTACCAACACAAACTGTAACAGTTTACCACTGTTTCACTACCAACACAAACTGTAACAGTTTACCACTGTTTCACTACCAACACAAAATGTAACAGTTTACCACTGTTTCACTACCAACACAAACTGTAACAGTTTACCACTGTTTCACTACCAACACAAACTGTAACAGTTTACCACTGTTTCACTACCAACACAAACTGTAACAGTTTACCACTGTTTCACTACCAACACAAACTGTAACAGTTTACCACTGTTTCACCACCAACACAAACTGTAACAGTTTACCACTGTTTCACCACCAACACAAACTGTAACAGTTTACCACTGTTTCACTACCAACACAAACTGTAACAGTTTACCACTGTTTCACTACCAACACAAACTGTAACAGTTTACCACTGTTTCACTACCAACACAAACTGTAACAGTTTACCACTGTTTCACTACCAACACAAACTGTAACAGTTTACCACTGTTTCACTACCAACACAAACTGTAACAGTTTACCACTGTTTCACTACCAACACAAAATGTAACAGTTTACCACTGTTTCACTACCAACACAAAATGTAACAGTTTACCACTGTTTCACTACCAACACAAAATGTAACAGTTTACCACTGTTTCACTACCAACACAAACTGTAACAGTTTACCACTGTTTCACTACCAACACAAAATGTAACAGTTTACCACTGTTTCACTACCAACACAAAATGTAACAGTTTACCACTGTTTCACTACCAACACAAAATGTAACAGTTTACCACTGTTTCACTACCAACACAAACTGTAACAGTTTACCACTGTTTCACTACCAACACAAACTGTAACACTTTACCACTCACTACCAACACAAACTGTAACACTTTACCACTCACTACCAACACAAACTGTAACAGTTTACCACTCACTACAACACAAACTGTTACAGTTTACCACTGTTTCACTACCAACACAAACTGTAACAGTTTACCACTGTTTCACTACCAACACAAACTGTAACAGTTTACCACTGTTTCATTACCAACACAAACTGTAACAGTTTACCACTATTTCACCACAAACACAATCTGTAACACTTTACCACTCATTACCAACACAATCTGTAACACTTTACCACTCACTACCAACACAAACTGTAACAGTTTACCACTGTTTCACTACCAACACAAACTGTAACAGTTTACCACTGTTTCACTACCAACACAAACTGTAACACTTTACCACTCACTACCAACACAAACTGTAACACTTTACCACTGTTTCACTACCAACACAAACTGTAACAGTTTACCACTGTTTCACTACCAACATAAATGTAAATGTAACTGGCTAAAACACAGATTTTATTGGAATCCGATTTCTTAGATGGATCAGTGAAATTGAGTAGTGATATTATATACAACAAGCTTATTTAAAGTTTTGTATTAAGGACAAGTATCAGTCATCCTAACAACAGCTTGTTGCAGATTATGATAGCAAATCCAATCAAATCAGTGAAATTGTACTCGTGAAAGTGTGGAATCACGTTTGTATCCACCTGTCGCGCATTTCCAGGCAAATACCTAACAGCTGTTTCGCTCAATAAACATGCTTTTATTTCTTGTAAGGTGTACGTTATGCTGTTTCAAATTGCATACCCTGATTTTAATACGCCATTCTCTATCTTCCTTTTATAGCCAGATTAACTTAATTACAAATGATGTTTTATCGATAATTATTTATACTTTTCAAATGTACCCTGAAATTGTTAAACAAAAACTTCTCACATTAATGAAGATAGTTAGTTGTATTGTTTATTGGTGTTTGATACTATGTGGGGATATTTAACATTTATTTATGGTGGTTAGTTGCAGCCATTTCGCTTTGTCACATTGGCGGGGGCATCAACGTAGTAATACGACGAAATGTATGCGACAGAAGTATCCCAACAACAGAGAAACATTATTACATTGGCTGTGTATTATTGTCTCTTTGTTGCCCTGTTAAATCGCAAGGGGCGCCCACATGACAATACAAAATGGCTGAAATATGTCACTGTAGTTTTGTTATATATAATGTTAGTTTCGTTATATTCTGCACATTAATACGTGTGTTATCTTTTCAGATGCTGTGGATACTGTGAAAAAGGTTTCCTGCATTCAGTTACATCTAAAAAAAAAGTCGACAAATTCTGAGTAATGCTGATCCGGAAGTGAGTCTCGAAGGGAAGTATATAGTGATGAGGCTGGAAGTTGCCACTCAGCCCAACGTAGAATGTTTCCCCGATTGCCAACTGTGTACAGGTTTTTTTGTGTATTACTTGTTTTCAGTGTAATATTGTACACATTCCTGTTACAACGCATCACAAAAACTGTTAACTCGTCACCCAAACTTCCCTGGCAAGAATTTGTCGTCAGTGACTCCAAACTAGACCACATCGATTCCTTTCCGCGCAAACCGGAAGCTTCAACTTTTCATCGTCCTCACGTGCAGAAAAAACAGACAACAGATTGGGTTGTTGTGAATACTACACCAAGTAAAACATATAATGATGACGTAGTAAACCCTCACACATTTCAATATTTGTTAAACCCGCGTGGACTATGTCAGGACAATGTGTACCTCATCATTTATGTCCACACAGCACCTCCCAATTTTCACAAACGCCAAATGCTTAGACAAACCTGGGGACAAAAATCGATCTTGAACAAACATCGATCCAAAATGGTGTTCATAATGGGATCAGTTCCAGATCATCGTGTCATGGACAAAGTTAAAATGGAGCATGCGCATTACGGGGATATCGTACAGGAGGATTTCATTGACTCCTATCGGAACTTAACACACAAAGGTATAGCGGCATTAAATTGGATTTCTAACTTCTGTAGTAACGCCACATATGCCCTTAAAACAGACGATGACATCATGGTGAATATATTCAAACTGGTGTCCAAACTAACCTCTGACATCGAGCATCGCCTAGGCAAGAAAAACTTGATACTATGTAACCAATGGCTGCGCATGAAAGTTCTTCGAGACAAGAAAAGTAAATGGTACATTCCAAAAGAAGATTTTGAGCCAAATTATTTCCCGCCATATTGCTCAGGGTCGGCGTTTGTTCTAAGTATTGACGTTATCAAGCGAATGTCTGCTGTTGCGAAATACGTGCCGTTTTTCTGGGTCGATGATTATTACATCACAGGCATGCTTGCAAAACGAGTGGGCGTAACCCAGCAACGTCTGAACGACGCTTACATTCTGAACGGCAAAGTTGTCGTGGATAGATTTAAGAATGACACCAACAACAAATTACTGTTTTTTCATGTAGGGAAACAAAACACCATTTATTCCATGTGGGAGATATTAAAAGAAAGATTGCGAGTGCGTACAGATAACTTTACGTGGAATCCTGGTAGCTAAAATCTCTTTATTATAGTGCATCTTAATTTTTTTTATTGTATCATACTGTTCATAAATCAAATTTTATCATTTAAATAATAAAACTTTTGTTTGTTTTTGTTATTATTAAAGACGTGCTGCGGAGAGTTGGTGTAGCCACGGTATTCATTTAGGTAACTCTGGCACCATCTTAATATAAGACCAAAACAATATCTTATCTTCAATTCTTTCTATACATTTCTTGAAATCTGTTCTATGATTTTTAGAACCTACCACCTACCCTTTCAATTCTCTTTTTATCAATACTTAGTGAATCAGGGGTTATCACTGGATTCCTTGAGGAGTTTTTTATAAGGTAGTCCATCAATTGAGATTTTATGGATAAAATTTTAATGAATTATTATTATTGTAGTGCTAGGTACCCTTCAGTAAACACATAAAACACATATGTCACCACATTACTTTCACTACCAGGGTCACACACATATATATATCTATACTTATGAACGGCTGATCCAAATTTTGACAATTTAAAGGAATTAGATATTTTGTCCAGTTAGTTCCCTTACAAAACACAATAAAAATATAAACATATCGTATAAATACCATTAAAATGCATTGTATAACTGTCCCAAAAACGTATTTGTTGGTTATATAAAGATAATTATCATTTTTGTCAAAATTGTCTTCAAATCCATATTCTTTTCTTTTATTTTTCAGCGTTGATGGAATACTCATCCTTTTTATTTATTTATTTATTTTTTTTGTGATTTCTAGACATTGACATGTATGTATATAAACACCGACCAATAGAGTCATATCTCACCATACATTTTTGGTGATCAATTTAATGCTGGTATTGTTGAATAATGACCCGGATAGCTACACCAGTGTTAAGTTCTCGGTTACCGTGTGTCTCCAGAGCAATACCGGGGTTTCTACCCGTCGTTGCGTCAGTACAAACATGGCCTAACTTTAGGCCGGTTTTTTTTCTGACGCGCTGTTACCAGTACTTCAATTCGTTTAACAAGTTCTATTTAAAATCTAACGTTACTAAAAGAAAACAAAACGAACCCTGTTCTGTATTTTTTCAAGTTATAACCAGTTATATTCGTGAGTATACCTGAGCGACCATGTTACACTGGAGCCTCTAAAACACTACGTACACACACTCTGGAACCTTTATTAGAAAGGAATTCCCTGCCGTTACAAGGAGACTTCTGAAACCCTCTCCCAACAAGGAAATCGATGGAGAGAGGATACCTAGGCGTAGGACATCCGAGTAGAAGAGAAGAGAAATGTAAGGAAACAAAAGCGTTACTTTGATAAAGTTAAAAAATAGAGCTCTCTTAGATTCGGGAGCAAAGGGTTTCCTTATTAGTAGTAAGGTATTTAAGACCTTTGGGTAAGAATGTACTTTGACATGTATGGGTATTGGCAAGAGATTTACCATTAGCAGATATACATATTTCTTATATACTAAGAATTTCCTAAAAGGTAGTTATAAAAATACCAGTGTAAAGTCAAACTATCAAGAGGTTTTGAGATACCGAAGTCGAGGCAGATCCCTAAAATGTTTCCCCGGCAGACAACATTAAAAATAGAGCATTTTGAAATAGTTAATGTACCAGTTGTATATACCACAGAAATACTGAGATCAATGAAGAAAGAGAGAGAAAAAAAGAAAACGGATTCACAGTCAGATCACACACCGAAAAAATGAATATAGACACTGGCAAACATAAACCTATACATGACCCATTAAATGAGATGTTTGAAACAAAGGTCATTGCAGGGTCAAGGAGCTCTTTAGTTTATTGGTAGTAGATAAAAAGAGGCATCAAAAGAAAGTGTGTAGGCGTTCGCAGTCTTAATAAGGTTGTGATGTCAGTGCTTCTATAATGGATTGATGACATTTTGCCCTTTATATAGTGCAAAATACTTAACTGCATTAGATATGAAAAGCAAGTAGAACTTGACGGCGACAGCAAACAGGAAAACTCCTTACGCTTGCCATTGTCGATTATTTCATTCTAACTGTACGCCCATTGTTCTTTTCTATGCAATCTTTCAAGACCTGATGGATATAGTAATACAAGATCGAACAGTTTGTCACTGCATATATTGATGATGCCCTTATGTAAATTAAGACATCTCCGAAACACTCCGGAACATATCCAGACAGTCTTCCATAAGCTTCTTGGACATAGACTCAAGTTAAAGCTTCGGAGAGTACTTTCTATAAAAGGCAATTGAATATCTGCGATTTGTAATCACAAACGAAGGAGTCAAACAGGATTCTAAGAAAGCGGAAATTATAAGGTCTCTACCATCTCCATATTGTGTAATAAAGGAAGTTCGAATTTTCATTGGCATGTGTAGTAATTACAGACGTTTTAACCAAAATTCTCCAGGATAGCTGAACCCCTTACGGGGCCGACCAAGAGGTATGCCAGGTTAAAATGGACAGATTTCCAGAAAGTCTGACAGTGCCTTTGTTGGCATACCCTGATTCGAAGAAACCTTACGACATCAGATTCGGCTATAGGAAGCTGTCTTGCTCAGGAAAGAGAAGACGGAGAAGAAATGTTTCTTTAGTATTTAACACACACAGTTAGTCCTACTCAGAGAGGATGGTATGTTAGAGAAAAAAAAGCATTTGTGATCAGAAAGGATCGTTGATCTCTTTATTTCCGCAGACAAACCTTCATAAGAAATTTTCTAAGTGGGCGTTGACTGTAGCTGTTATCAAGTCTCCCTACAGATACACAAGAAGGACTACAGATTACCTCAGATGCCAAAGAAACTCACCAAGACATACTAGATGTAGATGATAGAGCATTGGAAATTGGCGCTCTCAACTTTAACAAGTTTACGCCGATGGGAGTCACAAACAACTCTAGACGACATAGTTAATGCAATGACGGACCTTCCAGAAGACGAAGACATGAGAATGTGTGATGAAGCTGACCAAGACGTAGTAAAGCTAAGAGAGAGACTTAGTGATGGTTGAGCAAACAAGACTGAACGGATTGTAATTCGTGTCAGGTCATCTTATTCAAGATAGATTATGTTGTAACCCAGAAGAAGAAAAATGCTCTGTTGACACAGAAGTAATAGGCCTTAAGAGATCATCAGAAAAAACACAAAAGGAGAGCCCGAACTCCGGATCAGAGGATGGAATTCGTTAATGGAATTACAGAGACGACTCAGGATGTAAAGATTAAAGAAATACTAGTGCTCAGCCGTAGATTCGGACGAAACTGATGCTATTCCATCGGCCGAGGCAGCGGTGCACAATGATGAAATGTCTGGCAATCAGGTAAACTGATAGGAGATCAATGTCATGATGAACTAGAGATCGATATTATTCATTATTTAAAAGAAATATTGCGCCCTTTAAGGCTAAACAAACACCAAGGCGGAGACAAAACATCATCTGGTAATGTTGTACGCACATAGGCAAAGAAAGCCTGAAACAGTAAAACATAAAGACAATTATCAGTCAAAGAACAGAAAACGTAGTAATGCTTTGATTAATGTCCTTGAGAGCCAAGGAAGAAACTTAAACTAATCAGTAAATAACATTAATAAGATGGATGTAGAAATTATCGAAACTAAAGATTCAGAAGAATTAGCAGATTACTTAAACCAATCAAACCTGCAGGATACCAGCCCTTTAGTTATTTCACCCCCTAATTTTAAGAGTTTGTTACAGATATAACGACCCGACTTGAATCAGGCAACCGAATCCCCTTTGACCCGGACACTGGCCTTTAGACATGTTACAATACACTTATTGGTAATTACAGTATTATTGTCCTTATATCTATACCGTTATTCCACATTGTTGGTAAATTTGCTATTTACAAAGTACATAATCTTCTACTTCCGTATTTCTAGTGAAGCAAACCAGTCTTTTGCGTCTTACAAGTAAGAGGCAGAAGCTTTGGCTGAAAAAGAAACTAAGACATACGTTGTGATCTTGACATTTTAAGAAATACAATGTGTAAGACAGTGTATGGGTGACGTCAGACACTACTTATTTCTCCTAATTATGCTATGATGCCTAATAATATCAGTATAATATCTGTTCAATAGACTTGATAAAGCATTGTTCTACCGAAGTACAAACAAGAACATCAACTCCTCAGGTCCAACAATTAAAAAAAGGTCATTGGCTAATTGCGTGTGACGTACTGCTACCGTTTACACAATGATGTCTCTACACGACCCCTTCTGTACACTAAGATGTCCCTACACGACTCCCTCTGTACACTTAGATGTCCCTACATGACTCCCTCTGTACACTTAGATGTCCCTACACGACTCCATCTGTACACTTAGATGTCCCTACACGACTCCCTCTGTACACTTAGATGTTCCTACACGACTCCCTCTGTACACTAAGATGTTCCTACACGACTCCCTCTGTACACTTAGATGTCCCTACACGACCCCCTCTGTACACTTAGATGTTCCTGCACGACTCCCTCTGTACACTTAGATGTCCCTACACGACCCCCTCTGAAAGTTTCAATCTTATCTCTGAATGAGGGTTGTGTTGCTTCTAATGCTTGAATGATTCTGCCTTCATTTCATCATGTTGAAAGTAGCTATAATCCAACAGACCTCTTTCACTAACTATTAAATAGATTCTATAAAACTTCGGAAACCATTTAAGTGAACATTTCCAGAGATTAAGAGAATAAAATTCCTTGCTAAATCAAAACATATTAATAAAATTCCAATCAATACTTTGACCTTTGAACCTGAATACCATTCAAAACGACCACAGTGAGATATTAACTACTTATCGGTTTTAATTCTGGTTTTAAATCAATATACAGAAGTTAGAATTTGTAAATTGTCAGTGAAAAGGGGAAATTTGGAGTTGAGTTTTTTACCTTCCTTAGCAGCGTCTAAAGAAGAAAAATAAGAAATATAAAGACTACTCTATCGTCAATTTGGACATGATTAGTGGGTGGTCATCGTCAATTTGGACATGATTAGTGGGTGGTCATCGTCAATTTGGACATGTTTAGTGGGTGGTCATCGTCAATTTGGACATGATTAGTGGGTGGTCATCGTCAATTTGTGATTAGTGG